TAAAGAGTTTATGCCTTGAACATGTTTGGATGAGCCAAAGCAATACAGACTAAGCTCATACCCACCACACCACTTATTTGTGACTTTCAACTAACCATCACGATTCACCATTTGGTTTCACAAGATTCCAACGTCTGACAAGCCTTCCCACATTACCCATTTTTTTATTTTAAGGTTATTAATCACTTCTAAGACACAACCCTCATTTACTTTCAAAGAGGATCACATTCTCTCATGAAACCACCTAAATCTTTTAAAGGAACCAGTTTTATTCTAGTCCAAAATTAGTTTGAACAACTTGAAAATACTCGTTTTATTAATTCCTTTGTTTATTCTTTTAGTTAAATCCAAATGGATCTCTAGACGTTATTTGGTCGGATTGAACACTAACTAAATCAGTTAAGACTTAAGATTGATGCAGACACCGACCATACATCATGACACAAACACGGAATAAGACAAATCATACAAAAAGTAAAGCATAGAAATGGCATTTAATAATAATAATAATAATAATAATAATACAAAATTTACACATTTTATTCACATTATCATAAAAATATGGAATACCTTTTCTTTCTTTCTTTTTTTCTTTTTAATTTCACTATATTCTAAAGTGTCATTATTCTTGAATATCATACTTAAGCACTGAGGCCTAGTTTGGTGTGATGGAATGGGTTGGAATGGAATGACCATTCCACTTTCTGATTCTCTTTCCCTTGTTTGGTGTATCACATTAAAGTGGAATGGCCATTCTAAGGCATTCTCAGGGAATGCCCATTCCATCAAAAAGGTGGACTGCCCATTCCTCTTTTAAATACATGGAATGACCATTCCATTCCCACTCATTCCCACTAATAAAATAATTAAAAAAATCAAAGACAAAAAATAGCCTTTTTTGGATTCGTTTCAAGCAGATCTACCACCAAGGTCTCTCTCTCTCTCTGCGATACTAAAAATCCTTTTGGATTTGTTTCAGACAAATCTACCTATAGGGTTGCTCTCTCTCTACGACACCTTCGCTCTCTCTCTCTCTTTGTAGGAGTCGACCTGCCTAACGCTCGCGGCCACCGTCAGTAACAACATCGGCAAAGTCCTCCAAAAGAAGGGCACCATCATTCTTTCCCCTCTCTCTTTCAAGATCAAGGCACGTTCAATTGCTTACTTTACACATATATATACATTTATTTATATATCTTTCTATATATCTGAGTAGTTTCGTTTTGGGTTTTTGTGAATCATTTTGCTTTTCTTTGTGTCTCTCACTTTTATTGATTGGAAAATTTGTATATATATGCATGTATCACCTTCCTCTCTCTCTCTCTCTCACCGGTTAGTTGTCATCGGCAAAGTCCTCCAAAAGATTGGGTTGTTAATAGTAATCAATTAAGCGAACAATGAAATTTGATGAATTCTGAATGGGATGTTGTGGTGAGTTATATATGCTTACAACATAGGTTTGTCACTGTACATTATTCATTTTTGTATTTAGTTTTGGGGACTTGAGAGAGAGGATGGAATAGCCTGTTGTGGTGTGACAAATAGGAGTATAACTGATTGATTCATGGTAGAAGAAAACACGAGATCTGATTCTTTCGCTAGGGTTTAGGTGTTGAATTTCTAGATACACTATGATTTTCTAATTCTATATATGTGAAATTTCGCAGTTTGATGATTTTAATGATTGATTTGTGCTTAGTCGAGTTTGATTAGTTGATTATAATCTACTTTTTAATTGATTCTATTGCGTTCTAAGCTATATCTTCTGCTAGATTGATCTAATGTACTTTTTTGCGGGCAAATGATTTTACAAACTTCGATGTGATGATTTATGATCTGATTTTTGAGGAAATACATATACATATATGTTTTGGATTTTTTTAGGAAAAGGAAAACTTTTTATAAATGTGCCTCCAAAGTGGTATTTTTTTTTTTTTTTTTTCATGGCTAAAAAATAAAATAATATTAGATGAAAGAAACATAATACATCAATCCAGTGCTGCTATAGAGGCCAATTCCAACACTTCTACTGGAAAAGCATTATCAATTGACATTATCAGTCCTGTTGTGTAAAGCCAGGATCCTAAACTATGAGCCACAACATTTGCTTCTATGAAGATTGACTGCAATTTGAATTCCTCTTGGACCATCTGCCAGTTGCAGATGTCAAACACTACTGTACAAAGATGAGTGGGAGCCCCCTGGACCTCCTCACTTCAGCGTTAAAACCCCAATCTTGAGCAAAACTAAAATCCATTTGACCCCCCTTTTCCTTAGGGAGTATAAATTGAAACACCCAATGTGTCAACTTTGTAATTTGCAACACTTTTTCACAGTTCCACAATCTTCCTATGACTTTACATAGAGCAAAGATATTTGCAGTTTTGTTGGTAATGTGGTACCAACATTTTTACCCTCCTTAATATCATTAACAAGAAATTCAATAGCTTCTTCCTCGTCAAAGGAAAACGAAGAACTCTGAACTTGCTGCAATAAATCTTCATTCATGGTTAAGAACTAATCCCCATGCACACTCCTCCTGTATAATTTACTGGATGCAATACAACCCCAAGTCTCACATTAACGCATGAGAACCCTTCTGGCTACTGCTAAGAGAAAAAACTCATAGGGACAAGCAATACTTGAGTTTAAAGCGAAACCCTCATCCATCCCTCTTCTGCAGTTCAAATTTTAGGTAAAGATGAGGTCCTTAATTTTGTGCATTTTTATGCTTTCCTCCACATACCGTAGTTTGATATTGTAAAGCATTCATGAATAATTAAAATCTATGTGATGGAGCAACTGTTGATTGTCCTTCCAGGTCAGAGGGATTTACACATTTTACTATTTTTTGTGTGATTGTTTTTTATTTAGGAAAATGATGTGCTCTAATCTCTATATGTTTGATGTGTTTGCTTAGAAGATAAAGGTGTTTCTGCAGTATTCTAGTGTCTGTTGTGCTGCTGTTTTCTATATAAATGGTTACTCAGGATATTGCTAATGTCACTTGACTAGTGTGTCATTCCAATTTTCCCAGTATAATTGCAGAATTATAGTGAATACTACTATGATATTTTAATCCTTTTATGCATTCAAATTTTGTTAGACCCATTGGAAGAAAGTTTAAAAGCTCAGGAACAAGTGGTAACTGAAGCACATGGAGAAACTATTATGACGATCGAAACATCAAATGAATGGAGTACTTGGAGAGATAACTTAGCTACTCATATGTTTGATGAATGGAGGGCGAGGATACAAGGGAGATGAAATTTTTTTTTTTTTTTTAAACTTGTGTTTTCTTGTCTCATTTTAGATTTTGAGTTACACTTTAAGAAATGTAACGTTACTTGAAATGTTAGTATGTGTCTGTGTTCCATGTACTTATTTGTAGTTCTATAAATGTTACTTAGGCTTTTGGATATAGTTTTTGGATGAACTAAGTAGTTTTATGGTGTTAAGTAAATTATGGTTCCTTGTTTCGGATTCATGATTGTGGTGTTTAGTAGTGCTACACTTTTGAATCTACAAATGCCATTAATTTGGTCTTGTGTTCCAAAACATGTACCAGCTTGTCAAGACTAGATCTCTAGCCCAAGCTTGAATATGGTTTTTGATGCATGCTAGTGGTGTTTGACAGTTTGTGCAATATTGAATTGGTAGGAGGACATTTTGTTTAGCAGCTATTTAAAAATATTGTCGACTCCCAGCTTATGCATTTTAGTTATCAATGATATATTTATTGTTTAAGGATCTTTTACTAAATTTTTTATTGTTAAATGCAGTCATAATATCTATTTTCTAATGAATACCACTGCTAAACATTTTTTTATCAACACCCATATTTTAAAGTGAAATTGTACAATATTTGATATGTCTTTTTACTTTAATATAATGTTTATATAATACTAGTTAAGTTTAGACAACAAGAAGTTTAGTTTTGTATTTTATTATTGCCCAATATATTTCTTTGAAAAAAGGTAACTGCTCTTTCAAAGTCTTTCAAAATTGCTACAAATTTCATTACTTATAAAAAAGTAATTATTTTTTAGCACTCTAATACGATGGGTTCACAATAAATAAAAACAATTATTTGTGAGGTCTCGGGTTCACAATAAATTGTTAGTCTTTTCTTAAATTTTTAATAAATTTTCTTGAATCAAGATTTTCGTACATTTTTCTTACATTTTGTAATATAATTATAATTTTCATAGATTTTACAAAAATGTATTAGTTGGTATAAGCTAGTTATATTTTATTCCATTTTAAAATAACAAAATATGCCATTTCGTTAATATAATTGATATATTATAAGTAAAGGTATTTTCGAGAAACTAATTTAAAAGTTATTCCATTCCAACTTATTAATTGGTCTAACCAAACACGGGAATGGGAATAGTCATTCCATTACTGCATCATTTTCTGTTTGTAGCCAAACAGTGGAATGAGAATCATCATTTTATTCCTATATTATTTTCATTCTATTCCCACTTGCATTCCATTCCTGTCTCATTTCATTCCTGTGCACCAAATATACCCTGAAAGTATACAGCTTTCTAGGTTAAGATGAACATAGAAAAAGACTGTTATAGCCCCCATTCTTGACTTCGTTTTTTAATTATTAGAGACAAAGTTGATGAGGGAAGCTCTGACCTCATCTTCCAAATAAGTTAAAAGGGATTAAAAAACAAAAAGTAGTATCCTTATCCGGATTGACAAGAGCCCATGTTACGTTTGCAAGGTCGCCGAGCATGAAAAGGAATGGTCACAATGTTACAACAAGAATAGTGAAGAAAGGAGGAGAAAAAGGTCAGTTGAGCATGACAATATTTGACCTTTTTTCTAGGGTTTTGTCAGGCCAACTCCACCACATATGATACTTTTCGAAAGTGAATAGATTCGAAGAAACAATACCATTAACACTTTCGTAATATAAAAAATAACCTTAACATTTTGAAAGAAAAAAAAAAAAACATTTTAAATCCTATGGTAACAAAAGGGTATTATAAACAAACAGATTTATTTTCCTTCTGTTCAAACACGAAATATCATTCTTGACAAAGATGGGTTTAGAATAATAACACATAATCCTTCAAAACTACACAGCAAGCAGCAGAAATAGCAAATTGACACAGAGATGAGATCGAGCCGGTTTAACAAACATATAACAGCTAAATATATTTTGCTGAGATACTATTCTATTCGCTAACACAGAGTTGACGATGTGAAATCACAGCATATGGGACTAGCCTCTGCCCCTTAAAAACCATGAATCTTGATATGTTCCTTCTTCACAATGCCAGCCTGCTCACGAGAAAGGATTAAGTTATAAAAATGATAAATATCTAAAAATGAAATGTGAATGAGCGGTTGAGAAAATTTTAGTTTAACAATTTACCTGCACAAGGAAAGTGGAGACATTCTTCCTTTGATCACCCTGAAGTTGAATGACCTGTATCCATGTAAGCCAAGCATTTAGCTTTCGTTTGTTTTGGTGAACAAAATCATGAAACGAAAACCATATTTCTGTTGAATGAGATGTCCAGAACTCTGTTGTTTAAGATTAGAGCAATTCCAAAGTTTATTTTATTTTCATGGTAGGTGCACTATTTCCAAAGACAACCATGAGATGCAATGAATAATGCATCTAAAGATCCCCGTGGATGGAACTAAATATCCTAAGGTGTTAGCGGGAGCGGAGGTGGAACCTTCCACAGAAATTGAATTCTGAGCAAAAAGATGTGGGCAGGCAGTTAACTTTCAAGATAGCACCCCACTTGAAAGCCCCTAAAAGAAAAGAAATATATATAAATGTGATTATGAAGAAGCAGTTTCTCTTTTTCACCAATGATGTAGGAATTTCTTAAATAAAACCTGTTTCACTTTTTATTTAGCATCAAATGCAGCTTCAAGATTGATCAACATAAACAAGTGTGCTCTACATTATTTATAAAAAGGGCTAAAGAACGCACCTGGCCTAACTCAGGGTCCTGGACAACAGTACCATTACAGCAGAACTCTTTCTTAAGGTCCTTGAGTATCTTATTATAACTGAATTCCTTCTTCAAACCTTGCACAGTTGTCAAGCTTTTCCTCCCATTGCGCTGCTGTGTACGCACATGGACATACTCCTTTGTCCCAGCACCTGAGTTTTCAGCATTTGCCTCAGCAAAGGGATCTGTTCCACCATACCACAATCAGGCACAAAAACAACACAAAACACTGTTTAGATTCCTTTGCAGCATCTAATTTAATCAATCCTTTAAACAATTATTAGTAGCCTAAAGAGGACAGAAAACATACCAAAAGCAGTAGGAATCTGAATGTCAAGTTCAGACATGAAACTTGATTGTCGAGATAGTATATCAGCGAACCAAAATTTCCTTCGATTTTAATCGAACTGACGAGAACCTGAAGAAGATTCCAAAGAATACTCAGAATGACCAGAGCTGAAGAATATAGTAGACAAAACTCAACCAAACACAGCCAAAACTGTAACTGTGCATGCTTGTAATAATACAGTCAGTCAAAATCCCACCAATCCCCACCCCCCAACTCGTCCAAGAAAAACACGGAGACTGATTAATAAATAAGTAAAAGGTAACGACACAGAAATATTTTCACGTAAGTGGTCATCAACAGTATAATCCAAACATGATCTTAAATTATCATTCCCACAAGTAATCATATCAGATATCCAAAAGCCAGTATGTAATAATAAGTCAACAACAACGTAAAAGTCAGCATGAACTATTTTGCAGCTTTCATTACACCTCTCTCTATCAGATTCACACATATCTTACAACCATCATAACCAAAAAACTTGTTGGCCACAAAATCAAAGAGTATACACCACATTCATGGGCCAACTAGACTGCATCAAATATTACACAGCAACGGAACTCTAAACTCAGCACACTCCATAAAAGGTCATCGCGACAAGTTGGTTTCAACAAGAGAGATCCTTCTTGCTGTTCTCAGCCATATTGAGAATCAGTCTGTTAGAAAATCATATGCTTTCACCACAATGTTAGACCATATACTTCGATGACTTCTCCTATCAGATTAACCAAGTATGACTTCATCTAGAACCAAATCACTCCTCACTGGTGCAAATCAGTGTTTGTCATGCATGACCAAAGTAAAACATCTGACCAATAATACCTTTTCTTGCCTACGAGAAGTGCACCTCAAACTCGTCACCTGCACTTCATCTTGCCACACATCCACTCGTTTTCTAGAATGCAACATATTATTAATAACTTAAGCAATAAACCGTAAGGTGCAGTTGGCTTTGTAGGTGTCACATTAATCATTTCCTCACAACCTTGACCTACACAATTTTAAGCTGTTATTTTATGCTCATAGACTTTGAACTTCAGTCCTTCCCAGGTTAATAATCGACGCATTGTCTAAACATCTTGGTCAGCATTCCTTCACCATGTTTCCAACAATTGGTGCAAACAAAAATTCCTTATATTGCAATAATTGCTTGTTCACTCTCTTTGTTCATCTTCCCATTCATCCATATTAAAATCACTGTCCTGCTATGCTCATTTATGACCACTTATTTCTTAACTACCTGCTAAACCCCCATCTAAGGACTATGCAATATTAAAGATATATAAAAGGTCATTTTTGGTCGTTTTACTATTAATGTTCACAAGCTCCCCCATTATGTGCTTAATTTATAAAACAAGAATAATGCGTGTGGTGCATGTTAAAACACACTTGACAGCTTGGTGTTGAAATTATTCGAGGAAGGTTTCCTATAGTAGATGATGCTCCACATAATTTTGGTTTAGCTTGTCATGAAAGTTATCTAACTTCTTTTTTTCAATAAGTGAAAGCTTTCTGATTTAGGCAACATCTATACATAATTTCACCTTCAAAAGTTACCCCTACAGCCTTACTCTTGTTTTGCCAATGAAAGTCCCATTGTATATCAAAAGCACACACCACTTGACCTCTTCCTAATTATATGGTGTCTATTCCTCTACTCAACACAACAAAGCGTTGGCTACATGAATCCTTGTTTTGCTAATCTACTCTATCTAAAGCTGGTAAAGCCCTGTCTATTCATCTATAAACAATAAGACTAGGCAGGCCTGCCAACCATTAATGCTGAATTGAATCACATTAGTCTCTTGAAGCCATTGTCGCTCCATCATCTATTTGACAATTTGGTAACATGTGTAATTGTTAATTTGTTACCACTTGCTCTGGAACACAGCACCGTCTGCAAAAAGAACTTTAAAAACTGGCGTATTGATGATAAAATCATAGTGATAGTGATATTTTTCAAGGAAGAAAAAACAACACACAGATTAAACAAAGAAAACTATAAGAATATAGTAGCTGCCTGATCTAGAATCATGCTATTAATTTACAAAAAAAAAAAAAAAAAAAAAAAAGAAGCTTGCCAACTCAAATTATGATAGGATCGTACATATTAAAAGTAAATACTATGTCTAAAATATTCACTTATGTACCTAACTGTAAATGGGATAAATTACTTTAACTGTGCAACACTCGCCCAAGATTCTTTGTTTAGCATAAAATGAACAAGACTGCGTAAAAGAAATAAACAAGTTTCATATCGGGCATCAAATACACTTTCTGTCAAAAAGTTGGCACTGATGCAATTAAACAAACCCATCTAGATGTCCTTTACAAGTATCAAGAATTACAATACCCTCATCTCAAAATTCATCTTACGAACACAAAAACCGTAGAAATACTAGCAACAAGTACGACACAAACTGCACTATTTAAATATGTGTTTACAATAAGGTGACTGTTCACTTTCCTCCAGGAGCGGGCAATTGAAAGGACTACCCCCGAAATTTTACAAAATTATGTTAATTGCCGTGCAATTAAGTCCTGAATTTGAACAGGGAAATCTAACCACGCCAAAAATTTTACAAAATAATATTAAGTGCCCTCCAAATTAAGTCTTAAGTTTTGAATATTTAAAATTTGGCCCCCTCCAAATTTTAAAAAATTCTGTTTTAAGTGCCCCCAATTAGCGAGTTCTCAATATACATTTTTTTAGATAAGTGCGAGTTCTCAATATTTGAAATCTGGCTTCCAAACCATATCCACATAATAATAGCCCACTTTACAACACAGCTCTACTAACATGTGGCCTCAAACCCATCAAATATATCTCATATATTTCATGTAAATGGTATCACAACTCAAATGTATATCAACTAACTTCCAGTACATCATACACAAAATATCAAAACCCAACGTATTTATAAGTCTGTACGTGAATTTTTGTTTTTATCTCTATGTTCGCTAGTATGTAGTTTGTCTAATTGGTAATTTTTGTCTGTATCTAATGAATGCATCTTTTCATATTAGTTAAACTGAAGTCTAAAACTTGTTTTATTAATTTCATGTTTTCCACACCATCAAACCACATTCTTTAATGTCTCTGTTTTGAATTTTCTTCGTTTAGCTCTTATAAGGTCGGACTTTGTGATACTAAATTAAGTAAAAATGTCCAATTTGCTATAACTTTTTATAAATAATAATTAATTCATTACTATGTGTTTTTTTATTCATTTATAATTTTTTTATGCTATGTGCATGTAAACTTTTGGATTATTTGGAAGTGTTTTATTTGATATGTATTATATCACATTCACCAAAAGGTCATCCATCACAATGTCGATAGTAAAATTGCTTTTTGAGGTGGGCCTTTCATACTCAAATCCATATGAGGAGAATTGTTCAGTGCACTAAAATCTAGTGGATGGGGTTCAATATTCATGAAAAGTCAGGTTTGAAATGATCCATGTTACGAAACGAAGACAATCTATCTTACTAATAATAATAAGGGTCAAGTGCCTCCAACACCTATAAATAAAAGTTTCTTTCGATCTCTATTTTGCATAGGGAGATATGGGTCGACTATGGGATAGAGAACAAAAAGTCAAAATCGAATAAAATCCCCTCATAGCTTGCAAACCCTCAAGTGGAATGGAATTAGGGATGCTAGCTTGTGCTGGCCTTTCCTAGTTTGATGGACTTTAAAGTGGACCCCAAAGTCCAATGATCAATATTTTCTTGAACTGGTTGAGCCTATAGGAGGTACAAATGATCTTATTTTAGATATGTTCTATTGTAACACACACACACACACATATATATAATACAATTTTTTAATTTTTTAAAATTTATTTTTATACCATTTGGGCTGCTCCCAAACCCAAAGTAAAAATTTCTAGGTCCGCCCCTGCTTCCTCTTAATCACTATAACAAAAAAAATTCACCTTTACCCTCGTATTCAACACTGGGCCTGTCAGTATAAACATATTACAGGGTATTTTCCTAATTGCATTCCTAGTCACAGGCAGATGCATGCACAAACATTTGGTCCATGAAGAATTTAACAACCCAATTCAAGGCAGGGTTTGTGTTTCAGAATTCGGCCAGTTCATCCACTTTCTTTGTTTAGTAAAATCAGTTTTATTTTTAATCAAATTGAGGCCGAATCTATCCTCATTGCACCTGTTTCTTCTTTTTTCTTTTTCTATTTCTTATTGTTAAAAAACCACGTAATTTTTTTTAACTACACAATAGACAATATAGAATTGAATGAAGAAATATGGTGCCAAACACAGAGGTAAAGTCCCAATTGACCGAGTTAACAAGAACCCATTGAAAAACAATCAATATGTTCACAAATCCACATAACTCCAGCACATATCAACGAAGATCAAAATGAATTCATGCCCAGAAATCCAAACCCTAATCAACAAACGCGTAACAAATATATATAGCAAAAAATGAGAATGAAACCCTAATCGAATGGACGATTAATTACCCAATAAATTCAGAGAAAAACAAAAACAAAAAATCGATTCTGATTCATCTAATATATTAGTACCTGTAACGATGATGGCAAACAACGACGTAGGGAGAGAGTTTAGAGATGGGTCGCGGTTTAGGTGGCTATTTGTTAGCCCCTTTTTAGCCCTGTAACACTATGTATAGTGTAAACAACTGTTCTTAACCGCCCAAATCGATATTTTATCCATACAAAACCAATTATTTATTTATTTATTTTTATATTTTTAAAAGGCAATCGATTTTTATTTTTGGCTGCGATGCATGATTGCGTAAAATGAACGGTCAGGATGGCATTGCCACTCCAGAAGAATTCAAGAATAGCACGTGATTTTGCGTACATTCTACGCCCGGACACGTGGGTCCGACGTTAAATAGCAGTTGATAAATTAGAATCCTTTTTACATATCCACGAGATAGGAAGGAATAATACTCTGTCTGAGAGAAAGATAAGGGAATTTTTAAACATTAATAATTTTTAGAAAATATGACAGAAATAAAAGAAGAGATGTTTATCAATTTTTTCTTAATTTTCTAAAAACTAATTCAAATAGAGATTTACTATTTTCCCCTATTTAGGTGAAATTTACAAGAGACTAGTTAATTTATACAATGATATTAAAAGTTAAGTTTGCTGGTAGGCAGTCTCTTTTTACATTCTAGCAAACATATTGAATAAGAGAAAGGACAATACTTATATCCGTGATGATGTATTTTATCCTTCAGCATTGATAAAGATCAATAATATTTAGACGTGTTTTTTTTTAATTATCAAATCAAATATGATAATACGTACTTACTTATCAAATCAATGATAATAAGATTAGTTATCAAATCTGATTTGATAATTAAAAGAACATGTCCACTGACGGAATGAATTTATTCTTGAAATTAGTCTAGCATGAGTGAAACCAAAATCATGAAAATCATTTGGAAAACAACATAAAAGTACTAACATGATGGAATTCCACAAGCCATTTATTTTTAAAAAAATGAAGGACAATACTTAGCGGATGTATTGCATGATGATTGTTAATGTGGACCAATAATATATAGATATATACATCCTTTTAATTATCAAATCAGAGATGGTAGATACATACTTACTTATCAAATCAGTGATGATGTGTGATGACTTTTGTGTGCAGATGCGAGACACTGGACAAGCTGTCACACTGACAGATTACGGGTGTCATGATCTCACATTGTTTAGGGAATGTGAAGGTGATGTATTATATATAGATTCAACACCCTTATATGACAATGCGTTTTAAAATCGTGATGACCATGAATCTATTAGAACTTTGTATTTAAGCTTGTTTATGCATAAGTAATATCAAGATGAGTGACTTCCTGAAAAGTCTGGTCCAAGGGAGCCAAAAACAAACAATATTGTATCAAGTAGGGTGAATCGATGAAGGCTGTTACAATGAGGACATTAAGCCCCATGGGGGTGATTGTGACATCCTTTGTGGGTATATGTGATATGAACGGGTGTGAGATACTGGACAAGTTACCACATTGATAAGTTACGTGTATCATGATCCTGCAATTAAGCGTGTTGGCGCAAAATTTTCATTGCATTGAATCTATTGATGACCAATTCAACACATTCATGCAATACCAAGTGCTAATTTCACTTGTTTACACATATCACACTTCGTAGCCATGCTAACAAACTAACTAGCGAGAATGCAGCCTATGTGACCACATCTCATGGTAAGCATGACTCTCTCTCTCTCTCTAAAAATGAAATGGAGTTGGGTAACCAAAAAGTTAGTTAACACTGCATTAATTAATTGGATGGTGGAGAAGAAGATGAGGGTGGTAATGGAGATATTGACAGGAAAGCTTTTCTACATCCAAGTCGGTGATGATGCAACTGTTGGTGATCTAAAGAGAGAGATTGGGGCACAGGAAAAGCTTCCTCATGATCGACTCATCCTCATCCTCGATGATTCCAATCTCCACATTCATCTGCTGAATCAAAACGAACTCTCCCTCGTTGATTGTGGGGTCCAAGATGGGTCCCACGTCTATCTCTTCTTTGATCCCCTTGATGATGGATCCCCATCAATATCTACTACTACTACTAGTCATTTTCTTTTAGCTGCTAATTCCTCAGATTCTACCTTGTCTTAGGCTCTGTCCCAAAGCGTATCAAAGGATGTGGGTTATAATTATGTTTTTACTTTTACCAAATTATAGTTCTTTATACATACATACATACATGTAGTTTCAGGATATTACTACAAGAATAATATGCCTTGTATTAATTTCAGAAACATATACTAATTAATGTTGAAGGACATACCAATTTGTATCTGTTTCTAGTTTTAAAATTTTTTTTTATAAGGTATTCTTGTGTTTGAATCAAATTATGTTCTCCAAAATATCTAAAGTAATAGTCGTGATACAGCGTCTGTCAAATTACATATTATTTTTATATTAAAATTGTTGGTGTTTTGAAAAATCAGACTCATAAAACCTGTTGTGCCAAGGATGGAAACATATGTATATATTGATGGTGCTATACTATTAAAATAAGATTTGTACAATGTTTAAGGTGTATAATCATATCATTTGATACATTTATTTAGCTCAACAAACACTGTTTAACTATATATATATATATATATATATGGACAATCATATTATTTGAAACGTGCATTTAGCTCAATGCAGATTGTTTAATTCCTAAAAAAAGGCACAAAACAAAGCAAAGGCCATCTCTTTAATTAATTAAACCACCAAAATATAAAGTAGTAGACAATTTAACATCCCATTTCTTTGTGTAGTCATATATAATTGTAAATTTGTAAAGTAGTAGTAAATAGACAACTATGTATACACACACATATTTAAAAGATATACCGTAAATGATTTCATGAAACAAGTATTCATGGAAACTCAAATAGATCACAAAACAATCAAGTAATAAAATTTTAATTGTTGCATAATGTGGACCACTATGGAAGTTTATTGCTAAATTTCAAATTAAGTCCATAATTTAACTCTCATCATTCTTGATCAGTTTCTAAAACAAAGCAAAGGCCATCTCTTTAATTAATTAAACCACCAAAATATAAAGTAGTAGACAATTTAACATCCCATTTCTTTGTGTAGTCATATATAATTGTAAATTTGTAAAGTAGTAGTAAATAGACAACTATGTATACACACACATATTTAAAAGATATACCGTAAATGATTTCATGAAACAAGTATTCATGGAAACTCAAATAGATCACAAAACAATCAAGTAATAAAATTTTAATTGTTGCATAATGTGGACCACTATGGAAGTTTATTGCTAAATTTCAAATTAAGTCCATAATTTAACTCTCATCATTCTTGATCAGTTTCTAATACAACCCCACCATCTCAAAATCCACCGCGACTAACTGTTCCTTTAAAAACATAGAGAAAGTCCCCATTCTCTACTCCATGCCACCGGAGGCTGCAATTGTCGCGCATGATTCTCTGTTTGTGAATAAATATATAATCATCCATAGGAAGTATTTTCCGAGATAACATAAGCTGTCTCAACTCATTGACAGTGTTAGAATCCCTCATTTCCAACGGAATGCTTGCAGCATTGAGCAAACTCGAAGAAGTCTGCACTACCACACTGAGCCTCTTCGAAGGAGGTTCAGCTACTAACCGGCTCATAGTCTTGAGAAACACTATGATCTCGGAGAATTCACATATGCCATACTCACTCAAATTTCGATACTCTTCTTCCATTTCAATCCCGGAGAAGTAGAGTGTCATTCTTTTGATTGGAGTGCCATCAATTATGTAAATTTTTTCTTTTAGGCTTCGGACTGTGTCTGTCCTGTCAACCTCTATGTTGTGCTTTCTAGCTGAAAATTTAACAACAATTTGAATCTTACTATGGTGCTCAAATGAAGGTCTCATCATGCATTTGACTGTGAGATCGACTTTTGTACCTTCAGTGACAATTGGATAGTCTTCCAGGTCAAGTCCATCGACCAATTCCCACCCGGACACACTGAGAATTTGTGAGGCCACAGGGACACTCGAAAAGTGCTGAATTTTCTGTTTGATTTCGAGGATTGATTCTTGGAGAGCCACATCTATGGAATATTCGCACGCCTGTGTGACAATGATGATCTTCATTATTGCAATGATGTGTAAGATTTTTTTTTTTTTTTTTTTCTACTTGAAAATTTTGTTCTGATATTTGATCTAGGTAGATTTATTGAATTTCAGGATGTTAACTTCTAAGAGAACTCAAGAGTACCCTGTAATGTGATTTTTGTGCTGCTTGTTTAGGGTGAAATTTAAAACTATCAATCATGTTGAATGAATGAATGAGTGTTACTATATGTGTGTTATGCTCATTTTGAAAGCATTTTGTTCTTCGAGCATCAGTCTATAAGAGTGTCTCATGGTAATTCTGTGGCAGTTCCCTTCCTTTTTTTTATTGCTTACTGTAAAATAAATAACCTAACTTACCAAAGAAAATAATAAAATAATTGACACGATGAATAACCTCCATGACCACAAAAATTCTATTAATTAAAAGTTAATAATTTAACAAGATATTTTATGTACATTATTTATTTATTTTCAAAATATTTAGTTTCTCAATAATCTTAAACATTCAATGCATTGTAATTATTTAATCAATTAAGATTAAACGTAATGCACTAATCTAATCAATTAAAGGACATTTAACCTAAGTCACACAATCCTTTTCAATAGGTGTCGCTCTTAAACTCCGAGGGCGCTCCCACTCTCTAGCTTCGCGCACGCTCAAATTCTCACTACTTATGACTTAATTTTTTCGCTCTCGCTTTCAAATTTGCTCTCACTTTATGTGACTTAGCATTTAACCAACTAAAGATTCAATGTATTGTACTTACTATTTAATAAACTAAAGATTCAAATAACACTACATTCATATTTCAAGAAAATATTATAATCAGTTATATATGTACTTCTTACCGGATTATTAATTTATGTAATAAGTGGGACATATAGAAACTTATAAGGAAATTTTTGAAATGTATTATCTTATAAATTTAACGAAATTATTAATTAGGCACGATCCTCTCCTGAGGACCTCTCTCCTATTCTATCCCGAACTAATATAAGGCCTAATATTAAGGCATTTCATTCATTCATTAAGACATCATTTGCTATCTCTCCCTCTTTAATTCCCTCCAAATTTCAAAGAGAACACCAAACAAAAAATATGGCACCTAAAGAAAAAGTATCACCGAATGCCGTTAATGGCGATAACAGCAAGGGGACGCGTTTCAGAGGCTTGAGGAAGAGGCCTTGGGGCCGATATGCCGCTGAGATCAGAGATCCTGGCAAGAAGAGCCGCATCTGGCTTGGAACCATCAACAATGTTGAAGAGGAGGCACGGAGCGGCGGCGCGCCAGTTCTGCGACACCAAGGACAAGACCAACTTCCCTAGCTCCTCACCGTCGTCAATAACGCTCGGAGTCCTAACCAGAGTACTACTGTCGAGTCCTCCAGTTTTGCGCTGACCTCCACAGCTCCGTTTCTACAGTCGTCACTCGACCTCAACCCCGGCGATTCCTCTTCCATTGTTGATTTCAATTATTCTAACCGCAATCCCCCTAGAAAACTCATCAACATCGATCTCATCCTTCCTCCCCCAGAAGTCGCCTGATCTCACCGGAAACATCGTTGTCGACTATATTCACTCTTCTTTTTCTTTTTTGTTTCCATAATTAATAATTTTTTTAATCTATATATTTGTGTGCGTATATTATATTTATAATCAAAAGGGCGGATTCAGGGGTAAGCTCTGGTGGGCTTGAGCTCACCCAAAAAAAAAAAAAAGGTTTTAATAGTACTAACCTACCCCATTATGCATATTTGGATTCGCCCTTGTTTATAACTCTATCATCTTAAATCGGCGAAATAGAAGCACAAGAAAAACCGGACGGCAGATTCTGACAAGGGAAATTTGGGTAAGAAAGTTACCGAAAAGAGAAGAGAGAAATTTGGTCTTGTCTCTAGTATTTAGAAAGAAATGGAGAGGAGAGAGAGAGAAAGAGTGAGGGAAATGTGGCAAATGACGTGTCTTAATATTATCCTGAGAGTAGGAAAGAGATGTCCTTCGAAAAGGATTCACATCCATTAATAATTTAATACATTGGCCCATGTCCGAACCCACGTAATTTATTATTTAAAAGATATTATTAATTTATAGAGGTTATACTGTATTATAATGAAAAAATCTGGCTTGGCCCAAAATGGGCGGCCTTACACAATTTTTCAAATTAAAACAGACTCATCAAATTTATCCCAAAAAAGATGTGTCAGTCCGCACTCCAAACGAGCTCCAAAATCATCAGCCGTCCGTTTTACATCAATTAACCATGCAAGAAATGTCCCATCTGTTCTTAATTTGTGGGTCAAACCGATTGATGAAAGGTCCATTACCATCTATTTTATAATTTTACAGTATAATATGTGTGCGTGCGCACGATGAATTTTTGATGTAATTAAAGTATAAACAATCACAGTTATCTCAAGAACATGTTTGTTTTTTTAAGCAAAAGTAATACGGTACACAAACATGTTCTTATCAGCCAGACAGCCATTTTTTTGTATGTATCATAAAATCTGTACACACTACGATAAGCACTGCTTAACATTCTTAGAACAAAACACTTAATCGGTGATTAATGAAAAATAAAATAAAAATTGTTCATTGACCACCCATTGGAGTGATTGATGCAAGCTGGGCCTTTGATTTATCAATTATATAGAATTTTAGAAAAAAAAATAATAATAATAATTAAAGATTCTTTTGACCTAGAACATGCATATTTTTTTTTTGGTTAAATTAAAGCCTGCATGTTTATGCATGTTACTTGTTATATACAAAGGTCAAACCCATCTCAATTAGAGAATTTAGGACAGTAGTAAAATTAGTTGTGATTTCGTGGTGATGCTTCTTTCTTCCTATTCACATATTGTACTTTTAATTAATTTGTTAATTTTGGTAGGTGTTAAATCTATTATTAATTCTTAATGCTTTAAATTTAGCATAATTAAGAGAAATTTCACAAATTTTTTAATGATTAGGGGTGTGTGTGACAGTGTGTGTGTGAGAGAGAGAGAGAACAGATAAGCCTTATATTTGTCATGTCAAGTGGTGGCGGTGCTTCAACAGACTTCAAATTTCAGCATTTGAGTTCTTCTAAATTGATCATTAATCAATTAGAAGTCAACAAAATTAATTTAAAATCTGATCAAATCATTACTAATAATTCATAGTTTTTTCAATGACAGCTTTGACATGAGAAATTCAAAGGCCTTAAGCTTAGCTATAAATACCAGATTGACGTTGTTCCATAAGCATATATAGAATTAGTAATTGATAGAACTCAGACATCCAAAGCTAGCCAGCTAGACCAATGGCATTATTTCAAAAGCTTCTCTCAGTTTTCATTCTTGTTGTTTTAGTCCTTGACCTTGCCAATGCGCAGGGTTTGAAACTGGGCTTCTATAGCAAGACATGCCCATCTGCTGAGGCCATTGTCAAACGCACAACTGCTCAATTCGTTTCACGAGCACCAAGTCTTGCTGCTCCTTTACTCAGAATGCATTTCCATGATTGTTTCGTTAGGGTACACTCTTTATATCTTTTTTAAAACTTAGATTTTCATTCAGTGTCGCGTTTTTTGTTTTTACATCGCTGGTGTTGCAATGTTGCACTTTGTTATGAAGCTGTTGCACTATGATGTAGTGCGTTTCACTAACTAGTATTATTTTAGGTCACACTGGTAATGACTTTAGAAAAGAGGAGTCGAACCTTAAACCTGATGTTTCGTCGCAACTACTGTTTAATAAAAATTAATTTGTAATCTGATTTTGCAGGGTTGTGATGGTTCTGTATTACTAAACTCTACAAGGAACAACCAAACCGAGAAAAGTGCATTTCCCAACCAAAGCCTGAGAGGATTTCAGGTTATTGATGCTGCAAAATCTGCAGTTGAAAAGAAGTGTCCCGGTGTGGTTTCTTGTGCTGATATCTTAGCCTTGGTAGCTCGAGACGCTGTTTCAGCGGTAACAAATTATTTCAAATGTGACCTCCACAATGTTAACTATATATTATATACTTAAATTATGAAGAAATTAAATTAATAATTGTCACAACACGTTTTAGTCACTAACTGCATAATCTTGTTGCAGATTAATGGACCATCTTGGGCAGTGCCTTTGGGACGGAGAGATGGAAGAGTGTCAATCTTGTCCGATGCCTTAACAAATCTACCATCTCCTTTTGCCAACATCACGCAACTAAAAGCAGCATTTAGCTCAAAGGGTTTGACTGTAAAAGACTTAGGAGTTCTATCAGGTAACTTTTATATATATATAGACACACATACTGTGCACATCTATACTACTATATTAAAAGTGTAAACACACATATAGTAATGTTATGTTTATTCTTTTATAATTTTATGCTTCCTTTGTAAAAATTGAATTTATTGTTGAGAACTAGCTCTACATCTTCTTCATAAAAACTGAATTTATTCTTCAGAATTTTACGTACGTCTTCATAAAAGGGAACAATATATATATATATATATATATATATATATATATATATATATATATATATATATATATATTTGTTTATTTTTGGTCATATGTACTTTTTAGTAGTGATACTAAAAGTCTGTAACTAGTCTATCCTCTTTGATTGATCTCTTTTTGTTCACAGGAGCACATACTATAGGGATTAGTCACTGCACTTCCTTCACGAACCGCTTGTACAATTTTACTGGCAAAGGTGACACTGACCCTGCATTAGATTCCAAATATATAGCTCAATTGAAGAAGAAATGTAAACCTGGGGATGCCACTACATTTGTTGCCATGGATCCGGGAAGCCCCAACAAATTTGATGCAGATTATTACACTCTTGTATCTAAAAGAAGAGGACTATTCCAGTCCGATGCAGCTCTTGTAAATGACAATGTCACCGGAGCTTATGTTAAACTTCAGGCGACTAGTGGATCTACTTTTTTCAAAGATTTCGCGGCGGCCATGGTGAAAATGGGTGGGATTCAAGTCCTTACCGGCAACGCCGGTGAAATCAGAAAACAATGTGCTTTCATTAACTAATTAGAAAGTACAAAGTCAGTACACGAGACTCTTGTGATTTTTATTCTCAACTAATTATTAGTTATTTTTTATTTTTATTCTTAACTAATTATTAGTTATTTTTCATTTTAACTTGTATTTTTTGTTAAGCAGAATGTCATTTTTTTTATTTGGGGAACTGTGTGTTACTATTATCTAAAAGTATATTTTGATTCGTTCTCACTTCTTTGTTGATCATAGCATTATTGTTTTTCTTTTCATTTGTATAAACTATGCATGCAAATTCTTTAATAAATTCTGTTAATGTTCAGTACTCATTTTTTAATTTCGGAAGTTTTATTTAAGAGTATAGAATTGGCGCTTTATAATTGAAATTGAAAATTTAGAAGGAACAAACTTTACACTAATTTTTTTTCAAATTTTAATTCTAGAACTTTGATTCCATACTTCACCATATCTTTCCCAATAAATGGGTATATCATAGTTAATTGAAAGAAATTGTTTCTTTCTGAATCGAACAATGCCGGAGGGAATATGGAGCGAAAATTAATGGATGATAAAATTAATAATATCATTTGAAGTTGTTACCAATCAAAAATGACGGTGACATATTCATATATTGAATTAATAACCGAAAGTGTGGTCAAATATACGTGCATGCTTGTGACATTGAACTAGGTAGCTGGGTTGATGTATATCAAAAAAGATTACAATACAATGCCAATGGTGATCATGGACCTGCATGTTATCACAATGGTGATGGACGATCTCTTTGCTTTCATATATATATATATATATATATATATACATATATGTGTGTGTTGTCTTTTTGAAATTCAACAATAATTAATTTGAGTCCTAGCTTCTATAATGATGCAAAGAAGGATGCATAGTTGACCATATTTATGAGATCAATTTTTATTTTCTGTAATCATTGGCAAACTGTTTTCTACAGTATATTGTTTGTATAAATGATAACATGTAGGGAATATATTATATATGGGTTTAATTTATTATTAATATATCTCCCTTATAAGCGTTCAAAACACTAAAAAATAACTTATATCTTCCTTTACACCGGCCTCCCTCTATCCTGTTTCCTTGACTTTGGTCTATGTTCTATCTCTTTATTGTTTTAGGGTTTAATTAACAGTGTTATATTTTTTAAAATAAAACTTATTTGTAATTTAAAAAAAAAAATGTTTGGTGCCTTTTTTTATTTTTTTACCATATAAAATTTTTAAAACATCATTTTACAGTTAAATTAAAAAGGTGTGAATAAATATGAAAAGGTATTTCTGACAAGTGTTATTTCTATTGGCTAGAGACATGAGGTAGCTTATAATTAAATATATGGTCTCTCCCATAAAGTAATTGATAATAAACGTATATCCTTCTTCGTCTCTTCTTTATTCTCTTCCTGCAACCCATATATTATATTATATTCTTGTCTTCGAGTTTTTGGGAGCAACATGACACAAAGACTTGGTCGTTCGTCTCTCTGTGAACGTGCTTATGAAGGACATTAGAGTTGTATCTTGAAGCATTTCATAGTCATCACAACCTGCATATAGGGAGGCTGTAAAGTAAGGGCGGATCCAACATTTCTAAATGTGGTGGACTAACTTTGAATTGAGCTAATTTGGGATGAGCTACCATTACTCTTTTTTTTTTTTTTTTTTTTTGGGTGGGGGGGGGGGGGGTGTTTGGGCTTAAAGTAGTATGGTAAAAATATAAAAAAAAAATTGGGTGGGCTGAAGCCTACCTTCGCCCACCCCTAGATCTGTCTTTGCTGTAAAGGCTTTAGGACAGCGCATGCACACTGTGCATGCCTCTCTATTACACAGGCCAAATGTTTCTTTACTCCTCTCTTATATATTGATTTGATATATTTTACTGGCCTATTACTTTAGTATGTTGTTATACTATATATATTGTGGTATAATTAAATTGTGATATGAATATATAACTGTTTTTAATTAAAGTACATTTTAATATAATTAATTATGTGATTAGACTTAAAATTAAGATTCTATAAAAAAATATCCAAAATTCCCAGCACCTTTTACTCCAATATAGCATTGTAGGTTGTGAGAATTTTCAAGGTGGTTGGCTAACTTCGAAGGGGTTGCTTTTTACTAACCTATGTAGTTTAGTTGGTATGTTTAGTCCCTTGACCAGTGTTGTAAAATATATCTATTTTTTTTAGTAATAAAATTTTGCTTATTTATCCTATTTTAATTTGGACAATACATTCCTCCTACCCTATAAGTAGGAACTTTCTTATGCTCATTGGCCCAGTCTAACAAAATTTTGACACCTCAAGTAAATGGAAAAAGCTTGCTTAGGCCGCTAAATAGCCGGGATTCTGGTCTCATCAAGTACTCGTTTTCGTGGCCCATCACAAAATTGAAGCATTTGATGTTGATATGGACCAATGACAATATGACATGTGTCAAAAAAAAATTAAAAAATTAAATCTGAATCATTCGGATCTTTTTCCGGGTTGTCCAAAAAAGAAAAATATTTTCTCTCACGCGTGTGTGAGACCTGGCAGTGGGCTCTCTCTCTCTTTAACTCATGATTCTTTCTTTCTTCCCACCAAATCTCCATTGATGCCCACCATCTCCCTAATTATGAAACCCTAATATTAATCCTCTCTTCCGCCAACCAACCTCCACCACCTCCACTGCTTGCCAATCTCCACTCGATCTTGCCATCTTCTCCATTCCCAAACCCTAATCTTTTACATCCAATTTTTAGAGATGATTCAAGACGCCACATTTGTTGTCTGCCATCTCTGTTGCAACTCCATCTCCATAATGACTCAAGAGGTCGACCAATTAATTAATACGCATAACTCTAGTGGTATCAAAAATTTTAAAATTTATCACCACCTGTTACAATCTGAAGCCAAATTGATTTTTATAAACTCCATTGATAATTAGAGTCTTACAATTGTTGTTAATTTACCATGTTTAAGCTAATTGTTTAGCTTCTTCTGTAACAGATTGCAATATGAAGGGTTTGTAATAGAAAATCTCAAACGCATGAGGTGGAAAAAAAAAAATCTTTCCTTTTGAATGATCCGCAAAAAGATCCAAATAATTTTTATTAATTATTTAAATTTTTTTTTGACACATGTCATATTTTTATTAGTCCAGATTAGCATCAGAAGGACATTCGTACTTATACAGCTTGAGGCAAGCATTGTTCTTAAATTAGTTCACCAAATGTCAAATAGACGAGGATCAGATTCTCCGATTACTCAAATAGATACGTGTGGGCTTCATACACTCATGCTTATGTTGTCAATTTTACATCTTTTTTTCGTTATGATACGGAGGAGCACAAATCTTCTGCCGCATTGGAGACAACTCAAATTTCTCTCCGTATGGATGAGTTGGGTCCCTGTTAAACTCTTATGTGATATTACCTCTGTTCTACAAATATATATATATATATATATATATATATATATATATATATATATATCCACATTTCTATTTTTGGCAATCTCAAAGTAATTGTCCCAATTCAAAATCTAGTATACTACTCTCTTGACTCAAAATAAGTGTTCATCTTTTTATTTTTATCCGTCCCAAAATAAGTGTCTCTTTTGAAAAGTCCATGTATTATTTTTTATAATTTTACCAATTTAATCATCTTACATTAAACGTATAAAAAGTAAACCACATTACTCTGGACTCACTAGAATTAAAATTTTTAATTTATTCACTACTAATATAGTAAAAATCATTCTCTTAAAAAGTTAGATTCCTCAAAAGTACACTTATTTTGGTACGGATGAAGCATATATACTTTTTAATATTCTTAATATACCCTCCTTACCATGAAGTTATAAAAATAATGAAAATTTGTAAACCCACCATGAAAGGATATATTTGAAATTTCATTTCCTATCACTATAATTAAAAATATATATATTCTTATTAAAAACTACAGTCTTAAAAATATACAAAGTAGATTTTTTGGGACACTTTTATGTGGGAGTGGGGAGTATAACAGTTACTTATGATTTCTGAAAGAGCATTTTTATTGCAAAATGCTATATTTTCATGCTAAATATATATTTTAAGAGGAGTTATAGCATTAAAATGCTATATTTTTGCAATTCTGTTTCAATAGTGCATTTCATCCAAAATACTATTTTTTGACACAACAACCATTTTATGTTTTGAGAACCCACTGCAGTGCGTGCCTTATTTTCATTTAGCAACTTTTGACAATCTCAAAATATGAGAGGTCTTTTGAGAACCTATTGGAGGGCCTTATTTTCATCCACTTGCTATATTTTGAATTTGAGAGGTCATTTGAGAGTTATTATATTTGGCAATACTTTTGACAATCTCAAAATATGAGAGGTCTTTTGAGATTGCCAACCTTTCAAAGTGTCTAAATCATGATAATATTGTATTAGAGTGTGTTCCTGCTCATATTGTACAACTTGCCCGGACTGATCTTTGTGTTGAGATGTAATTCTTTTATGTTTGTCAGGAAAAAAAACAAAAAGTTTTGTTAATTCAGAATTAAAGTTCTGTAACTGAAATTATTATGAATATGCGTGTTTTTGTGTGTGTATCTGTAAAAGTTGTTGGTGATTACTTGGGACGTTTATTGGTTAGTCAACGATAAATTTAGTGTTGAGAATTTTTTAGCTTGGGTGGAACAAGATCAACTAGGACTAAATAATATATACAGTATATATATACACACACACCCCTTCCTCTTCGTGTATGCCATCCACCTCTATAGTCTATATTTCTTTGACGCAGAAAAACAAAGAAAGTCAGAGCCTTGTAAAGAATTGATCAAAACTGTTCAATTATTAAAATCATTTCATAAATGTTGTTCATTTTGTAATTAAGTAAGATGAAATTGTAACAGCAAGTCTATCAAGAGAATGCACTTTACGTTCATTCACGCGTGACCAATTTTGTAATTAAGTTAAAATTGTATAACGGAGTTAAATCAGATTTAAAAAATAAATAAATAAAAGTGACACACGAGACACAACTATTATTTTTGTGAGCATGAGCATCCCATATGGCCATAATCGAGCACATCTGTTTGGGCTTAGGACTATATGATAAAATATTAATCATGTATTAAATAAGTATATATATATATATATATATATATATATATATATATATATAATTAAGAACAAACAATTATATATAATAATATTATCTTCATTTGATGCACTTGGAATGTACTGCGCAATTGCTTATAGCTGACTACGGAGAGAGAATGTCTCGCAGTTTGGCTTGCATTTGAAGCAAATTAATTTAGGATTATAAAAACCAAAGATTCGTCTCAACAAACACATGTTTGGCCCTGTAACAAGGTCAACCCATCTCAGCCGCAATCTTTCCTCTTTAATTTTAATCAAATGTTCAATTCGGTGATTTTTTTTTTTAATTTCTTCTTTTATATATTATGAATCCACAATAATTTTTTTTTATTAAAAAAAGAAAAAGAAAAAACAATTCTGAATTAATTTTCAGCTGAAAAAGACTTAGTCCTAACTAACTAATGAAATATGTGCAAACAATTTCTTAAGGCACAATCTGTAAACATGGTCCGAGTTTTACCGGATCTTGTACAAGTCCCGTGAATTAGTCTGGACAAAATTTCATAACCGTAATTATCCAAAAAAAATATATATGTAACCAAAAAAAAATTGTACATCCATGAAACTCATTCTTCCTCGTGTACAAATAGAAACCGTGTTATCCCTTTCATGGAAGAACGTGTTCCCATGTCCTAATGCAAGTGATCGACACTGGGTAACAAAAGATATATTAACAAATTGAGGAGGGTTTAGATAAAGCTTAGCATTATATTTTTGCATAGTTGGTGGAGCTTCATATTCTAATTCATAGAGTACTCATAATCGTTATCGTGTAGAACTCAGGCCAGCTTGGAAATGAAGCTTTGAATACTTCAAACTTCATTCACTTGTTTTTTTATACTATGGTTGTAATGTCAACAACTGTGTTTGATACATCAACATTATTAACAATTCGTCTGGTATTCAATGCCAGCTTTTTGCATGACATATTCAAAGCCCTAGGCATAGCTATAAAACCAGTGTTCTGCTTTCTTGCATTTCATTCATTCTATTTTATTCGTTCTATTTCAAGACAATGGCTATTCAAGGGCTTTTCTCAGTTCTTGTTTTCCAACTTTTGCTTGTCCTCTTCGTCTTCACCCGGGCCAATGCACAGTGCTTGAAACTCGGGTTCTATGAGAAGACGTGTCCCTCTGCCGAGGCCATTGTCAAACAGACAACAGCTCAATACATATATCGAGCACCAAGTCTTGCTGCTCCATTGTTAAGAATGCATTTTCATGATTGTTTCATTAGGGTGAGTTTTTTTTTCTTTATTTAACTCTTTTTAGAGCTGAATTGTTAGGAGTCATTGCTTTGCTAGGTATGGTGGTAAAATGTTTGAATTATCAAGCGTGAAAACTCGGTTCAAATACTAAAAACAATCACTTTGTGCATATAATGTCAAAGCTAAAGTTTAGCACGCTCTGTGGGCGGGACTACACTAGTTGATGAAGAGTAGTACTTAAAGCGGCTTATCTAATGATCTAATTTTTGCGGCATTAATCACTGTCCAAGTATCCAACTATTCAACCATTAATTTGGCACTATTTCACTATTGAAAACAATTTTTAGTTATAAGCTGAGATTTATTTACTCTGATAGTGTTAACTACTAGAATATTTAAATCGTGACTTAAATTGTTAGTATCCGGAAAATGTTCACATAGTTTGCAAGAGTTTATGATGATGATAAAATGACATGTGATTTGCCATACATAATGCTGTTACTCAAAGAAAAGTGTGGTTTGATTGTAAACAAACTTCTAATCTAGTAATTTTTGTTTGAAGGGATGTGATGGTTCTGTGCTCTTGAACTCTACCAAGAACAACCAAGCCGAGAGAGATGCTATCCCCAACCTAAGCCTAAGAGGGTTCCAAGTTATAGATGCCGCGAAATCTGCACTAGAAAAGAAGTGCCCCGGTGTTGTTTCCTGTGCTGACATCCTAGCCTTGGTCGCTCGCGATGCAGTTTCTATGGTAATTAGAAAATGTCAAATACTGTACTAAAATTTCATCAATCTCAATCGCCAAATCAAAGTCACAAAATGGTTGACTATATATATTTGATTTCATTTTTCCAGATCAATGGACCATTTTGGCAAGTCCCAACAGGACGAAGAGATGGAAGAGTGTCAATTGGCTCAGAGACATTTACTGATCTACCTTCCCCTTTTGCCAACATAACTCAACTAAAATCAGCATTTAGCTCAAAGGGGTTGAGTGTGAAAGACCTCGTAGTTCTATCAGGTAATTTGAAGCACGTAAAGAAACTTAAGGATCTACTTGATTTGTCATTCAAAAATCAGATATCAGTAACTCAAAAACAGAAAACTGTTTTTAACTGACACAAAACAATTCTCGGAAACTGTCAACCTGTTTTTTATAGTTTTCACATTGTCTTTGCAGGAGGACACACCATAGGGACTGCTCATTGTTTTGGCTTCGCGAATCGCTTGTACAATTTCACTGGCAAAGGTGACACTGACCCAACAATGGACCCCAACTACATCGCGGCTTTGAAGAAAAAATGCAAGCCGGGAGATGTGAGCACCATTGTTGAGATGGACCCTGGAAGCTTCAAGAAATTCGATACTGAATATTACACTCTTGTGAACAAAAGGAGAGGGCTGTTTCAGTCCGACGCGGCGCTTCTTGCTGACAGTGAAACAAAAGCTTATGTCCGACTTCAGGCAACTTCTGGATACAGCTTCTTTAAGGACTTTGCAGTGTCAATGGTGAAGATGGGTCAGATTGGAGTGTTAACAGGGAAGTCTGGTGAAATCAGGAAACAATGTGCCTTCATCAACTGAAGTACTGGTCCATAGTTTTCCATTTTATTGTTTCATTTCTATTCAATTGATTTTCAATTTTGAAATAAATGTTTGTTTCCTATATATCCGTAAAAAATTGCTATGTACGGGATGGTGGAAAATGTCATGTGTTTCTCCAATTAATAATAAGATTAATTGCTTTCTTTCTTTTACAAAGAATTATATACCTAATGTGCTTAAACTCTATGTTGTCAACAACTATTGTTAGCTCTCTAGCGCGTAAAACTAAAATATTTAATTCCTACTTATTACAATACCATTGTTTAAATTGAATGTTAATTAATTTCTTGGGTCTAGAATGGGAGTGTCAACGAACTCTAATCATAAGCTTAATACATAAAATTGTTTTAACCTAATTCAAAACCCGTCTAATGCTTTATATCATATTATCATCTGCAACAAAAAATCATTCTAGCACAGTTGTGAGTGCATTCAAATGGTTGAATGGTTCGTGGTTCAACAGAAATCCAAGGCCCTAAGAGAGTAGGAACTGTTCTAAAAAAGAGAGAGAGAGAGAGAGAGGGGTGCATAGATACCGTTCAACCAATGATCCAATGAGAACCAATTTAATTCGTGCAAATTGATTCGATTTTGAAGATAAATCAATTTGATTACGAATTGAATTTTAGCATAACCATTGGTTCAATTCACGAATTATGAATAATATTTGAATCCAAACCAATTTGATCCGTCGTGAATAAATAAATACTGCGTATATACATTGACAGGCATCATATGATTGGGTCACTGTGTTTAATTGTAAATTAAGTTTGGGCTGCTGTTGTTGTTACTGAGGTGCTGCTGTTTTATAATTGGGCTTCGTTCAGAAATAGTTGCAAAATATACTATTATGTTGGGCTATGGTTATGAAAAGAAAAATTAAGTATTGAGCTTGTTTGAGAAGCCCAATCCATATAACCAATTCAATCCAATCCAATCCTGTATGGATTGAAATGATTCCGTTAACTCAAAAGCTCTAATCCATTCGGTTTAATTTTAATTTTTATAAAATAATTAAATTTTGGTTCTAAGTTTAAATAGATCTAATACGAATCGTGTGCACTGAAAGGAGGAGGAAAAAAAAAAAAAAAACTAATTATTGTATTCCTTCCTCCACATTTTGTAGCTTGATTGGTTGGAGGAAGTTAAAGCCCACAATGATTAGACTTGCGCTTTGAATAATCAGTATTACCAGATATAGTAACTTTTCCTTTTGTCAACTTCAGGAAGTTAAAGCCCACAACGATTAGACTTGCGCTTTGAATGGTCACTATTAAACAGAGCCTTTTTAGAGAGATATTGTTGCCTCTATCTAACAAAAACTTACGATGATCAACAATCACATTCATAGCTTATTCTGTTAGATTGAGCTGGATTGAGCTTCATAATTGATTTACAGTCACCTTTCACAACTGTGTTTGATAAATTCCAATCTAGGCACGCTTGAAGGGCAAATTCCTTTACACGCATTGTTTTACCGTAAATTAATAATTTTTCAAAGTAAATTATTTTTATTTTTTTTTTTCCTGGTTAGTACTTACAGGCATATGTTTTTTTTCTGAAACTTCAACCGTGATCTCCTTTTGAGAGTAAGAGGTCGATAAGCGATTCTGCTAGGCCACTGACTCGTTGATAATTCTTCAATTAATTAATTTCCTAAGAATTTCTTTTTTTAGTCCGGAATAAAGTGACCGTTGCTTATCCATTGATCAGTCACTTCTGGTTGGCAAACTCTATTATATTATTAATTCATTGTACAATCAAATCAGCATCATGTATATAAATATACTAGGCCCCAGTGGGTAGTACCAAGCTTCTTGCAACATATTCAATATAAATATGGACAAAAAAGTACAGGCCCAAAAGGGCAGCAGCCCAAAGGCAAGGAATACAAAGCCGGTGCAGGAAGACCATTACACCCAGCCTAAGAACAAGTTTAAATGTTCAACAAAGAACCCTTAAGGGTCTCCATTCTAATTAATGGAAGCTAATATGTAATATATATATATATATATATATATATATAATGGAAGTAATTACGAACTGCATTAATTAATTGAGGAGTGCTAATTACAGTCGCATAAGTGACAGTCCATTCACCGTCGTAGTTAGGATTGGTTACTTTTAAATGCATTAATTATTTTGAGTTTCTATTTTTATAGGACTCTGCTAACATTACTTTTTAAACAAAAATACCCTTTTAAATTATCTAATCTTTATTCTTTTCTTTATCTCTCCTCTTTTAATCTAGGATGTGTGGTTAGTTATGTGAATGGATTCTAAAAAAGGAAAAAAAAAATATATAGATAGAATAATTCAATCACAAGAGATGGATGGATTCGGAAAAAACATAAAAGGAAGAAGAAAAAAAAGTGCGAGAAAAAAATCCAAAAAGAATAAAAGGAAAGGTAAAAAAACAAAAAATCGATTATGTATTTCTTCCTTTTTTGTTTTTTCCTATATATATATATATATATATATATATGTTTCTTTTTGTTTTTATTTTTACAACTATCCTTGTATAAAGGGATTTAAAAAAAAAAAGAAAGAAAGGAAATAAGTCCTTCACCAAAAAAGAAATATATAAGTACATAAAACTAATTTTGTATATATATTTTTTAAATCTCATAATCTATCTTGTTCTTTTTTTTTTTTTCAGCATCCATTCACATCAAATTAGTTATTATTATTATTATTATTATTATATATATATATATATATGTATAGACACACACACTCACACACACACAGGCACACATCTCTTGTCAGTTCCATAAAAATAGAAAATTAAAGTAATTAATGCATTTTAAATCAACCAATCCTAACTACGATGGTGAATAGACAATGGCTTGAGCACAGCACTTGATCGGATATAATAAAGTATGGTATAGTAATAATATATCCCATTATTTGAACAATCAATTCCTTGCCTTATGACCTATTCATTCATTCATTGTTGCTTCTAAGGAAGCAATTTATTTACACTGAAAGCTTTATAATAATTTCCCGTAAATAATATGTATAATCCATCTCTCTATATGTGTGTGAGCCACCTTGTTAAAAAAGTACTGTCTGAAATAAATAATAATAATAATAATAAAATAAAATACTTTGCAAACGTACGTAAGGGATTTTATTTTAACATCCATAAACCCCATCTCTTCTTTGGCTTAATTCTAACGTCTTTCGAAATAGAAATAAAAATAAAAAAAGGTTTTTTTTTTCCGATAAATAACAAAACTTGTTTGTCTTTGCATTAATCAAACAAATAACCAATAAAATAAGAAAATTAAACGAAACCATCTCGATTTTAATATATACGACTAAAAATTATCGATCATCAAAACACAAAAATAGTAATTAATGAACATACCCATCTTTCCAAATGAGTCAATCGAAAAGCTAATAAATATTAAATAATAATAATTAAAAAAAAAAATCTGAATCAATTGATTAATGAATTGAATAATTAGCCGAAATTTTAAGTTTTACATGTCAAATTCATTTGAGGTAACCAATGAAATAAGAAAATTAAACAAAACCATCTCGATCAGCTTTTAATATGAATTGGTACAATTGAAAATCATCAATCATCAAAACATAAAAATATTAATTAATGAACGTGAAGCTGATAAATAATAATAATTGAAGAAAGTCTGAATCAATTAATTGAGGATATAATTAATTAGCCAATGAATTGATTAGAAAAAAAGATGTGTAGGCCTTGACATGCAAACATATTAATTATATATATAATCTGACGACTTTAATGAAGAGATCGAAGAAGCATGTATATATAATCCTACACAATATACTATATAGTCTATATATATACATATATGAAGAAAAAGAAAGAAAAAAAAAACAGGCCATCATTTGATGATGAGAGAGATTAAATGATTGAAGCAGGTGAGGCCAAACAAAAGAAAGAAAGGAAGTACTTAATTGGATGGAATTGGCGGTATATAATATTCAGCAGGAAAAGAAAGAAAGTGGAGACACTGAAAGGCTTTAATTGTCTTCAATGTCAAACTTTTCTTTCATCTTCGTCCCTTCATTAATATTTGCCTTGGCATGGCGAGGGAATTTGTATCCTAAGGTGATTAATATATAGCTTATTTGAAGGAATGCATACATACTTATATATATATATATATATAGCTTATATTTGAAGTTATATATAGCGTATATAATGATCATACAATAAATAAACGATTTACCTAAGCTAAGCTACCAAACTTATCTTATATTACTTCCTAATACTTATCTTTCACAAAATATATATATATACATATATATTTATTAGGAAAAGGCACGTGTATGATAGAGTTTTATAGACAATAAAACAGCCAATTTGTGATAGATTTTATAAAAATTATTTTATTTTCATTAAATATATCTTTTATTAAAAAACACTCATAATAAATAGATAAATATGTAATATGTGTTAGAATTTTATAGAAACTCTTTTAAAAATTCTTTTTATATCAATTAATAAATATTTTTTTATATTAATAATTCTTGTCGAATTAGATTTCAATAAATAAGTAATTTGTGTTAGAGTTTTATAGAAACTCTTTTAAAATCTCTTTTTATATCAATTAATAAATAATTTTTTGTATTAACAATACTTGTCTAATTAGATTTCCTTTTATTTAAAAACTCAAAATAAATAAATAAATAGGTAATTTGTATTAGAATTTTTATATAAAATCTTCAAATATATCTTTGTCTAATGTATTATAATTTTATTGAAAATAAAATAGGTAATTTGTTCGAGTCTAATTAAATTTTCTTTTATTAAAAAACTTATAATAAATAAATAAATAAGTAATTTGTATTAGAGTTTAATAGAAACTCTTTTAAAAAATCTTTTTATATCAATTAATAACTATTTTTAAATTTTAATAATTCTTGTCAAATTAGATTAGTTTTTATTAAATAAAAAAAAATCATAATAAAAAGTAGTTTGTGATAGA